AGGGCATGTTGTCCGAACACATCTACGAGTTGCTGTACGATGCTATGAAGCAGATCTTGCGCCCCAGCGAATTTTTCAGCGAGGTCCGCGACTATGTCATCCGCCTCGAGTTCCAGGGCCGCAAGACTGAGCACATCCACATTGCGGCCTGGGGGATTCATCGGCAGGTGTTATCTGGCCGCAGTGGCACTGGTGACACCTCGCCATTCGTGCGCTTCCTGGAGGAGCTCTTCCGCGGGTCCGTGGACGTGCAGCACGGCGAGGGGTTCCTGAACTATATCAACGGCTACGTGGTCAAGGGCAATCAATCTATGGATTATCAGCCCGATGCCGCGCGCAGCGGCGGGGACGACCACTCGGCCTGGCGCACCACCTATCGCATGCTGTGCAAGCTGGCTCCTGGCCTGCCCGAGGTGTTCCTCGACTTCGCGGGCGCTGCGCACATCTATCGGACCTTTGCCGTGGTCAACGCGTACGCTATCATACCGGGGAGGCGGGACCAGGGCAACAACGACACTAAGCGGTTGTACGAGCATTATCGCAAACGTCTGGTTGTCTCTGGGGAGCCGGACTTCTACGGCAGCTTCCTGAGCTACATCCGCACCTATTCGTGGCAGGACGCCGAGAAGGTGACCAGGCGCAGAGGGCGCGGGCAGGACAGCCTTGTCGCCGTCGGCGTTCGCTATGCCTTCGAGATGCAGGACAACTTCATCGGGCAGTTCTGCACCATGATGTTTCCGCATCTGGACTCTAGGACCTTTGCGCCGCCGCCGAAGACGGAGGTCATTGCCTTCACCGCGTACTATTTGCGGGCGCTGCAGTACCTGCGTCACCTCGCGTGGACGACGGGCACTCCGCCTGCACGGGTGGACTCGCATCGACGGCGGTTGGCGCGGGAGCTGCCTCGCGCCGTGGGGGAGAGCGACGTGGCCTATGCGGCTCGCCTGCAGGAGGCAATGGATTCGTCCCGGTGGGTGGGCTTTGCGAAGGAGGCCGAGTACATCCCGTCGTTGTCCTCTATGTCTGCCGAATCCATGACCAACGACGACCAGCGCTACACGTGGGAGCTCTGTCACTGTTTGCCCAGCTACGTTATCGAGGGCGACGAGCACTCGCGCTTTCAGCGCCACCCGCTGCGCTTCCCGGACGCCACCGTTGGCTCGTGCGGCAAACCTTTCGAGGATGCCGACTCGGCGCTCAACTACCTCGTGAACGTTGTGCAGGGGGATCTCTCTATACGCGTTGCTCCCGGTCGCGCCAGGTCGTTCCGTGCTCGGGTCTTCGCCGTGCACTGCTTCTATAACTACACGGAGTACTGCAGGGAGAATCCTTTTGCGATACCACATGCCTTGCGCAGCAAGTGGGAGCAGTCCAACGTTGAGGTGTTCCACTTCTGTAACGAATACAGGATAGAGTGGAATCGCGTCTTCGGGCACCAGCGCCCCGTGCTCGATTGGTCTGCCGACCAGCAGGAGGTGCTGGGCCGCCCTCCCGCGAGCTCGCAGAGGGGGGGCCGCAGCGCCCGCGGCCGCCTCGCCCGCCGCGGGGGCGCCTGGCGCCATTCCTGGCGCTCCGAGGCCAAGGATCTGCGTGAGGGGCGCACCCTGGGATTTGCAGATCCTCCCAGAACGCCATTCCTGGCGCTCCGAGGGCAAGGATCTGCGTGAGGGGTGCGCCAAAATGGGGGGGCGGCCGAAGGAGGGACTTTAGGGCGGCGGAAGGGCTTTTAGGATTTAAATTGTTATAGGCTCTTAGTTTTTATGGTTTAGGGTTTACATGCGCGGGGGAGCGGCAGTGGTAGACTCCACCCTGCTCGCGGGATGCGAGGAATAGAGCAACTGCATGAGGCCACGGTACGATACGATAGGACCACCGTTGCGGACAACGTCCCGGCCTACTCAAGACCGGGTGGACGAGGCCGTGGCCTCGGGAATCTGGTGTCTGGACAACATGCAATGCGAGACAAATGCGCAAGAGGCTGGCCGTGTGAACTCTCGCCGGCTGTTCTGAGGGTGCACCCCCCTGTTGCGCAGGGTGTTCCAGCCTGCACCCCGCACGAGTGGTGGCTGTCGCCAGACCCGTTAGGGATTGCCTAGGCGTCGGACGATCATGCCCGATGAATGGCACTTACACTCGATGCAAATAGAAAGAACGCTGGAGTCATCACTGTTCAAAGCAAACATTTTGTGACTAAGGACCCCTCGAGCCGACCAGAGTGCAGCCGACCAGAGTGCAGTTTCATGGTGGGGGTTGGCAGGCGGTGGGCAAAAAAACTCTCGGCGATGACCGGTGGGCGGTGTGGTACGTGGTGGGTGATGAGCTGGGGTTAGTGTGGGGGCGGTGGTTGGTGGGTGGTGGCTGATGGGTGTTGGCTGGTGGGTGGTAGTCTGGGCGGACGATGGTAAGGTGGCAGTGATGGCACGGGCAAAAGTGGTGGCTGTTGCAACGGTGACCATTCCCGTTGCCCTCTGAGGAGAGGTCGACGAGCGAGTATGCAGAGTGAGGAGGAGGAAGAATGGAGGGGGAGGGAAGAGGAGGACAGGGAGAAAGGAGAAGAATGGAGAGGGACGATGATGAAGCAAGGGCGGCGAGCAAGAGGCGAAGAGAGGAGGATGAGGAGGAGGAGGAGGAAGACAAGGAGGAGGACAAGGAGGAGGAAACAGGGTGAGGAGGGGGAGGGGATGAGCAGGGGCAGGAGGTGAGAGAACGAGAATGACGATAACGACGACGACAACGAAGAGGAGGGAACGACCAGGAGGGAAAAAGGAAGGAGGATGTGGCGGAGGTGGAAATGGAGTTGGATGAGGACAAGCACAGTGCGGAGAGGGAAGAGGCGACGACGACGAGGACGAGAATGAAACGAATAGAAAGAGAAAGACGCAACCTGCCTCTGAAGCGTGTGAGGAACATGACGAGTGGAAAATACTGGGCGCGTCTCCCGCGCCGAGTGCTCCCCCTCTTCCCTCCCTCTCTCCGTCCCTCTCGCCCCCGACCCCTCCTCCTTCACCCTGCCTTCCTCCCTCCCTCCCTCCCTCTCCCTGCCTCCACCTCCTCCCCCTCCTTCTCCACACATGGATCAGCATTACCAGCGTCATCAACCTCAGCAGCCGGGTTAACATCGTCATGATCCTCATCATCGTCGTCGCCGTCGTCTTTGCCATAGTCATCACCACTACCACCATCACCACAACCACCGCCACCACCACCATCATCATCACCGTCAGCATAATCACCACCACCACCACCACCATCATCATCATCATCATCATCATCATCAGCATCATCATCATCAGCATCAGCATCAGCATCATCACCATGATCAGCATCATCATCATCAACAACAACATCACCAGCATCATGATCATCCTCATCATCAAAATCAGCATAATCATAATCATCAGCACCAGCATCATCATCAACAGCATCACCATCACCACCATCATCATCATCATCATCATCATCAGCATCACCATGATCCTCATCAGCATCATCAGCATCGTAATCATCACCATCATCACCATCGTCACCATCACCATTACCATCACCATCATCATTATCAGCAGCATCAGCATCATCGTCAACATCATCATCAGCATCATCAACAGCATCAGCATCATCATCCGCATCATCAACAGCATCATCATAATCAGCATCGTCATCACAATCACCATCACCATGACCATCACCCTCATCATCGTCAGCAGCAGCATCATCACCACCATCATCATCACCATCATCAACATGGTCGTCGTCGTCATCATCAGCAGCAGCGACATCATCAGCAACATCATCATCAGCATCGTCAGGATCATCATCAGCAGCAGCACCATCATCATAATCAGAATCAACATCATCATTGTTGCCGTCGTCGTTGTTGTCGTCATTAAAAATATCATTATCATCAGCAGCAGCAACATCATCAACAACAGAAGAATCAGCATCAGCATCATCATCATCAACATCATCTGCTGGATCATCAGCATCATCATCAGCATCGCCATCATCCAAATCATCGTCGTGATCTTCAGTGGCATCGTCAGCGGCATCGTCATCAAAATCAGCAACATCATCATCAGCATCATCTTCAGCAGCTGCATCATCGTCATCATCAGCAGAATCATCACCACCACCAGCATCATCACCATCGTCATCAGCATCATCATCGGCATCATCATGTCGTCATCGTCGTCATCGTCATCAGCAGCATTATCAGCAGCATCAGCATCATCATCATAACCATCATCATCGGCATCATCGCATCATCAGCAGCAGCATCAGCAGCAGCAACATCATCGGCATCATCATCATTAACATTATCAGCATCATCGTCACCATCATCAGGTACCCCTATCCCTCCTCCTCCTCGTCATCCTCCACTTGGTCACGGTGGCACGGTTATCGGTTGACACGGTTGTCCACAAGACCTCTACTTCCTCCTCCATATACAGTCATGACTTCGACAGCTATCAGGAAAAGGCGCTTGCAGACAAAATAATACAACACGCAGCGTCGGTTGCAACCGTAGGGCTACGCGTTGTGTAGTACACCCCATCTATGCTCATGCCCACAGTGCTCACACCGTGGGCGTGGCAAAACTCATAGATACGATACCGTACGGAGCTCTCTACGCAGCGTGCCTTAACCCGTGCTGTCTTCCATCGAGAATGTGGCCAAAGAACCAGTACGGCTCGAGAACACCAACCGGGGCGGTGGGCCACACCTTTGACAGAACTCTCGGGTCATTGTCGAAGAGACCGCCGTAAGGCATCTCTGACTGATGCCTCTCGGACTGTCATCATCATCATCATCATCATCATCATCATCATCATCATCATCAACATCAACATCATCATCATCATCATCAGCATCATCATCATCACCATCACCATCACCATCACCATCACCATCATCATCATCATCATCATCATCATCATCATCATCATCATCATCATCATCATCATCCTGCGCCCACCCCCTATCCCACCCCAATCACCACCCGCCTTGGCCATCAGGTGCTCGACCAGCAGCCCGACCAAACCTACCACCAAGAGCGTGCCCAGGAAGCAGCCGCAGCAACATACGCACCTGCTCTGGGGCTGTCGCCGAGGAAAAGGAGGGCGCCACTGACGCAGCGTGACTGGCCCCTCCTCCTCCTCCTCCTCCTCCTCCTCCTCCCTCCTCCTCCTCTCCTCCTTATCCTCCTCCTCCTCCTCCTCCTCCTCCTCCTCCTCCACATCCTCCTCCTCCTCGTGATCATGATCATGATCAATCCTATCCTCCTCATCCTCCTCCTCCTCCTTCTCCTCCTCCTCCTCATCCTCATCATCATCATCAGCAGCAGCATCAGCATAATCATCATCACCCTCATCATCGTCATCATCATCATCATCATCATCATCATCATCATCATCATCATCATCATCATCATCATCATCCTCATCAGCGTCATCATCATCATCATCATCATCATCAGCATCATCATCGTCATCATCATTATCCTCATCATCATCAACATCATCAGCATCATCATCATCCTCATCATCATCATCATCCTCATCATCCTCATCATCCTCATCATCCTCATCATCATCATCATCATCATCCTCCTCATCATCATCATCATCATCGTTATCGCCCGTCTTCCTCACCATCATCATCAGCAGCATCATCATCAGCATCATGATCATTATCCTCATCCTCATCATCATCATCATCATCAGCAGCATCATCATCATCATCATCATCATCATCATCATCATCATCAGCAGCAGCAGCAGCAGCATCATCATCATCATCATCATCATCATCATCATCATCATCATCACCATCATCATCATCATCATCGCCCGTCTTCATCATCAGCAGCATCATCATCATCAGCATCATCATCATCATCAGTATCATCATCCTCATCATCCTCATAATCCTCATCATCCTCATCATCATCATCATCGACCGTCTTCCTCATCATCATCAGCATCAGCAGCATCATCATCATCATCATCATCATCAGCATCATCATCATTATCATCATTCTCATCATCCTCATCATCATCATCATCAGCATCATCATCATCGCCCGTCTTCCTCATCATCATCATCAGCAGCATCATCATCATCAGCATCATCATCATCATCCTCATCATCCTCATCATCCTCATCATCATCATCAGCAGCATCATCATCATCACCCGTCTTCCTCATCATCATCATCATCAGCAGCATCATCATCAGCATCATCATCATCATCATCATCATCATCATCATCATCATTATCATCATCCTCATCATCCTCATCATCATCATCATCATCATCATCAGCAGCATCATCATCATCATCATCATCAGCAGCAGCAGCATCATCATCATATTCATCATCATCATCATCATCATCATCATCATCATCATCATCGCCCGTCTTCCTCATCATCATCATCAGCATCATAATCATCAGCATCATCATCATTATTATCACCATCCTGATCATCCTTATCATCATCATCATCAGCAGCAGCATCATCATCATCATCATCAGCATCATCATCATCATCATCATCATCATCATCATCATCCTCATCATCCGCATCATCATCATCAGCAGCAGCATCATCATCAGCAGCAGCAGCATCATCATCATCATCATCATCATCATTATCAGCATCATCATCATCATCGCCCGTCTTCCTCATCATCCTCAGCAGCATCATCATCATCATCAGCATCCTCATCATCATCATCAACATCATCATCCTCATCATCCTCATCATCATCATCATCATCATCAGCATCATCATCATCATCATCATCAGCCGTCTTCCTCATCATCATCATCATCATCAGTAGCAGCATCATCATCATCGTCCTCATCAGCATTATCATCCTCATCATCCTCATCATCATGATCATCATCATCAGCAGCATCATCATCATCAGCATCATCATCGTCCTCATCATCCTCATCATCATCAGCAGCATCATCATCATCAGCATCATCATTATCATCAATATTATCATTATCATCATCCTCATCATCCTCATCATCATCAGCAGCATCATCATCAGCATCATCATTATCATCATCATCATCATCAGCGGCATCATCATCATCATCATCATCATCATCATCATCATCATCATCATCGCCCGTCTTCCTCATCATCATCAGCAGCATAATCATCATCCTCATCATCATCGACCGTCTTCCTCATCATCATCATCAGCGGCATCATCATCATCATCATCATCATCATCATCCTCATCATCATCATCATCAGCAGCAGCAGCATCATCATCATCATCGTCATCATCATCATCATCGTCATCAGCAGCATCATCATCATCATCCTCATCATCATCAGCATCATCCTCATCATCAGCATCATCATCATCAGCAGCATCATCATCATCCTCATCATCATCATCATCAGCAGCAGCATCATCATCATCATCATCATCATCATCATCATCATCCTCATCATCCTCATCCTCATCATCATCATCGCCCGTCTTCCTCATCATCATCATCATCAGCAGCAGCATCATCGTCATCATCAGCATCATCATCAGCATCATCATCATCATCATCATCCTCATCATCATCATCAGCATCATCATCCTCATCATCCTCATCATCATCATCAGCAGCATCATCATCCTCATCATCATCATCCTCATCATCATCATCCTCATCATCATCATAAGCAGCAGCATCATCATCAGCAGCATCATCATCATCATAATCATCATCATCATCATCATCCTCCTCCTCCTCATCATCATCATCAGCCGCATCATCATCCTCATCATCCTCATCATCCTCATCCGCATCATCATCGCCCGTCTTCCTCATCATCATCATCATCATCAGCAGCATCATCATCATCATCATCATCATCAGCATCATCATCATCATTATCATCATCCTCATCATCCTCATCATCATCCTCATCACATCATCATCACATCATCATCATCCTCATCATCCTCATCATCATCATCAGCAGCATCAGCATCATCATCATCGTCATCATCATCCTCATCATCATCATCATCCTCATCATCATCATCAGCATCATCATCATCATCAGCAGCAGCATCATCATCATCAGCAGCATCATCATCATCATCATCATCATCATCATCCTCATCACCATCATCTCATCATCATCATCATCATCATCAGCAGCAGCCATCATCATCATCATCTCATCATCATCATCAGCATCAGCATCATCATCATCAGTCAGCTCATCATCATAGCATAAGCTCAGCTCATCAATCATCATCATCATCATCATTCATCAGCATCATCTCATCAGCATCATCATCAGCAGCATCATCATCATCATTAGCATCATCATCATTATCATCATCCTCATCATCCTCATCATCATCATCCTCATCATCATCAGCATCATCATCATCCTCATCATCCTCATCATCCTCATCATCATCATCAGCAGCATCATCATCATCATCATCCTCATCATCATCATCATCATCAGCATCATCATCATCAGCAGCAGCATCATCATCATCGTCATCATCAGCATCATCATCAGCAGCAGCAGCATCAGCAGCAGCATCATCATCATCATCATCCTCATCATCATCATCATCCACATAATCAGCATCATCATCAGCAGCAGCATCATCATCCTCATCATCATCAGCAGCATCATCATCATCATCCTCATCATCCTCATCCTCATCATCATCGCCCGTCTTCCTCATCATCAGCATCAGCATCAGCATCATCATCATCAGCATTAGCATCAGCATCATCATCATCATCCTCATCATCATCATCCTCATCATCATCACCATCATCATCATCATCGCCCGTCTTCCTCATCCTGCTCCCCGCCCCGCAATTTCCTACTTTTCCCTCTCTTCCTCTTCTGTCCCTCCTCCTTGTTCCGCAGCGCCACGCGTTGATCCCCAGCCGCAGCGCCCCGCCGCGCCTGCCCGGTCGCCCGAGCTAGCGCAGCTACCGTCGCGGACCAACGCGCGCCGATGTTGATTGGTTTCCTGAGGGGCGAGGAAGGCGCCAAGATAGAGAATCCTCAATCCTCAATCCTCGGACCGAACATCCTCTGGCTGGGATCCGAGCTGAGCGATCCTCGGACCTAGGATCCGAGATGATCGAAGATGCTCGGATCCAAGATCGAAGATGCTCGATCCGAGGGTCGAGGATCGAGCGTTGTTGAATTCTCATCTCTCAGGAGGGGGGTGAGGGAGAAGCCTCGCCGCCGCGCACGTGTGCACAAGCGGTGGCCCTTGTGCTGTCGTCAATCTCAGCGCTGCGAAGACGAGGGTCGGCCGAAATGGTAGGCAGGACCCGGCTCGATCGTCCGCCAGCGTCCGCGGCCTGCAGCCAGCTTCGCGCAGAAGGGGGACGGATGCGTCACAGCGCACGGAACTCCCAGGCAGTACTTGCGACGAGGTCCCGGGCGAAAAAAGAAAGCACCGTTGGGGTCCACGCTGGAACAATACGTTGCACGATTTGCCACTGACTGGGATGCTACTCGCCGGACGGCTCAACACATGTGCTCGTAGATGTGCAGGAAGGTATATGTGCCCAGCTCGCCAAGCTGTGCGAAGAAGAGGCTGGGGCCATCTCTGAAGCCTGCAGTCTGGTCGTACAGGCTGTCCGAGACAAGGATGTTCGTTCTGGGGTTAGCGCAGCCCAGCCAGAGGGCAAAGTCCATGAACCTGCACGCCAAAGCCTCCCTCGTGGTGTCGGGTCCTAGCAAATTCGTGTTCTCGGGCTTGATGGACAAATCCTGCTGACTGTCTACTTTGACAGCCCATCGGCCCGTGTCGACGTCGGATTTGCTGGCGCGGCCCTCGAGGCCATTAAACTTACGCTGATAATTTTAAGTCCGATGATCCAGACCAGACTCCCTCCGGGCAGTGCGGTATTGAAGACCCGCGTAACTCGGCCGGAGTAAAAGAGATGATCTGGCTGGGCTTTCCTTTGACTTCCTCAGGTCTTCTTGCATGCTTTGGTCCTCCTCCTCCTCCTTCCCGTATCCCCCCCCTCCTCCTCCTCCTCCTTCTCCTCCTCATCATCATCAACATCA